CCCCATTTACCAGTTCGCATCCAACCCCTCCCCCCCCAAATATCAGTTAGTACTTCATACAATGATAATTTGATTCAACAATCAACACAGAAAAGAAAAAAAGAAAGAACAAGCACACAAGCAACTCTTCAGGCAAAAAACTAAAGTAGAATTGTACAAGAAACAAACGGCATCAAACGCAGGAAATGAGATTGCAAATGATAACAACAATGAAATATATAAAATCACACCAGATGAAAATGGTCACGAAAGCTCGCGCACGCCGACCACGACGAGCAACAATCGAAACTGAAACTGTACATGGAAAATGTACTGTGCATGAAAAGTCCTCAACGACGCGAAGTACCTCTCACTGAAAACAAAAATGAAAAATGCAACATATGCAATGTATCCTACAGGCTACTGCTAAGGCAGTGGTACCACATGTCGAAAAAAAACAAACGAAACTGTAGTGTACAAGTCGTGTCGTAGCTACTCTCTGAACACCCTACTGGTACAACGCTACTCTACGAACACCATACTGGTACCAAAATCATACACACCGAAAACAAAGGAAACATCATCTAATACATCTGTAGCACGCTGCACGCACACAACCACTGAGAGCCTAACACACTAAGACAAGACGAGACGACCAAAAAATATAGGACCGCACAACATGACGAACCTCAGTGCGAGCAGGGGAAAAAATGAGTGTTGGCCTCATCAGTCAACGACGCGTCTTCCCCTTCCCGCTCTGTCTCCTCGTACCCCATCTGCGAACCCGACACCCCCAACCCCCTCGCCACACCTGGGGTCATACCAGCCATGACCGAATCGTACTGCTCCGTGAGGAACTGCTGCATGAGGCGCTCGTCGCCGCCCCCACGCGACACCTCCGCCTGTGCCCCTATCTCCTCCTCCACTGCTCCTGGCATTCCCCCCCCCACTACATCCGACCCTCGTCTCGCTGCTCCTTCTGCTGCAGCCACAAGCCCATCCAGTGCAGCTGCTCCACCAGCTGCTCCTCCCGCTGCTCCTCCAGCTGCTCCCGCCTGCCCCTCCACTGCATCTGCTCCCCCTGGCGCTGGTGCCTCCCCCGCCAACACTGAAGCTGCCATCTCCTCTAGCAATGAAGCCGCTGCTGCTACAGCTATCTGGTCCACCACACCTGCAATCGTCGTGTCCGCCAATCCCCCCTCCACTGCCATCTCCCCCTCCACTGCTGCTGCCGACAGTCCCCCCTCCTCCTGCAAGACCCCCGGAGAAGGTGATCGTAACCTCAGCTGTCGGACTTCCCCGCCTCTGTGGAGTAGTCCGCGCTGAGGCAAAGAGGACGCCAACTCCTCCGTGTCCTCTGCTGCCGTGGTCGGCTCATATGGCGCGACGGGCGATGGAGGTGTAGGACTCGAAGCAGAAGGTGGCGGCATGGACGACTCCTGCCTCGTCGGAGCGGGGCTCGTCGCCCGCGCTCCTGTGCCGCCCGTCGAAGCGACCTCCCCGAACGGTCCCCACAACTCCTCCTCTCCCCCCATCGTCTCCCTCTCCGCCCTGTCAGCCGCCCGTCGTGCAGTATGCGCCCTGGTGTCCTCCTCAGGGTCCAGGTGCGTCTCGTCGATCTCACGGGGAATGCAGAGCGCGGGGTGGTCCGCTGCCTCGGGTACCGGCTCCTCGTCGGAATCATCCTCCCTGGGGTAAGGACGGAAAATGGAAGCACGTCTACCGAATATGGCCTCAGCGGCGGGTGGTGCGGAGACCCCGATGGGATCCCGGGTGATAAGCGCAACCTGACGGGCAATCTCCTCCGGCGTCATCCCCCTGCGCGTGCCCGTGCGCACTAGCTCCAACTCCAGTCCGGCCTGGCAGTCTAGCATGCCCTCGTCCCGCTGCCATGGCAGCACATAACCGCACCCAGCCCGCCGATACTCCGACAACCGCACATTCGCGGTGATCTCAACCAGCTGAACGACCTTCTCAAAGGCCAACTGGTTGTGCTTCTTCGTGTGAATGCCCTCGTTGATTGCCCAGTTCCTCTCCGTTGGAGAGGCGCAAGACCACATGTGCATCACACGAAGAGCGCAGCGCTGCAACTCAGGTGCGCCAGACCCGTACTGAGACCACCAGGACGCGCACTCAATCGTCTCCCTGTCGCCGCTGCAAGCACGCCCACGAGCACGCCCCTCCCCCCCTCCCCAATCCCCAAATGTGCCCTGCTGCATGTGGAAGTCCTTAAACTGCCGACATGCAATGATGTACTCCACACCATCCTCCTCGTAACCCGTCTGCGTCAAAATGTACCTCTTGGCTTGCCTTACAAGCCAACGAGGGTAATCCCTCACCTCGCCCGAAAAGTACTCAACATGTCGTCTGCGGGGGTTCAGTAAGAACCCCGCGCAGTGAGCAGGCTCCAGCATGTGCTGTGTGCGAGCCTGCACACGCCTGATGATGCGGTCAGCGAAAACCCTCCCCAAAGGAGCACATGCATCAGTGACACGGCGGACAAGATCCTGTGTCCACTCGATCATGAGGGACATGTACTGCCCCCCACGATCCATCCGCCTAAGCAGCTCCATAACGGGCTGCATGATGTGGACTATGGTGGCCATCGTGTGCCACCAAGGCTCCCATCTGATCTGTCGGCGCACCCAACGCGCCATGTCGCACACATCGACGGACCACGGTATAGAAGCAAACTCCCGCCCCTCATCCCCTCGCATCATCGCCTGCAGAGCGTCCTGCAGGGCCAACAGTCTCTCCAACATAGAATAAACAGACGCGAACCGCGTCTCGCAAGAAAGCACAAGCCCCTTGTTGGGGATCCGCTTCCTAAAGAAATAAAGGGCGGCCTGGTGGGTTTTGAAAAACACCACCAGAACACGAGCGCGTGTAATCGCGTCCACAAACGCGTCGCAACTCGTCCCCATGTCTGACAACAATTTGTTGCAGACATGGACGGAACACGGAAGCCAAGTGATCCTCCTGATTGCAGGAGGGATGCCCGGCGAGGCCAATGCCCTCGCAGCCCCCACGTACGCCGATGCGGAGTCTGTGCATATCGCATTGACCCGCTGCGGGCCGCCGAAACTGAACTCGTGGAAGATGGTCACCCATCTTCGAAGGACGTGCACTGCATCGTCCGGCTCGCCCTCGCGATTGATCGTCGTGTAGACGACGACCCCTCGCGAGCCGGCAGCAAGGAAATTCACGATCGGTCTCCCGTCTCGTGATTTCCTCCCGTCGGAGAGGAGGGTGGCACCAGTGATCCAGAATGGCTGCCTCACCTCCTCCAACTCCTCCGCCAGCTCCTCACGGTGGGTCTCCACCGCCTGCATACTCGCAATCTCGCTGTGGCTGGGGAGCACAACACGTGGGGAACTGCTAGGCTGCTCAAGAAGGACCTGCTGGTATGCCTTCCAAGCCTGGTTGCGGAAGGCATTGAAGGGGACCCCGCTGGAATAGAGCTAGCGAAGGAATGTCTTCTTGTGGCGAGTGGGTCTTGTGGCGAGCAACCCACTCGCCACCGTAGACGTCAGTGACCTTCTGCTGGCGATGCCTCTTCCCAGCTGGGGCGGCGGCCGGATCTGTTCCACCTTCCTTCCTCTTGGAAGAACCCTCC